TCTTTCAGTTGCATTTTTGACTCCAAAGTAACGCTCGAACCTCCTTAAACGGATAAATTTTATCGTTCGAATCTTTTAGACCAATATTATTAAATTTTGTTATAACGTCGATAAAATTATACTTACCAGACGTAATGCTCTACGTTTCAACTCCCAAACACTGGAAGTATAATATTTATCAATGTAAGGTGGAAGTATATGAACGTCCGTTTGAACCTTCTGATCATGACGAGTCTTTCGTCGTAATCCTTTTTCCGTTAATCTGAAAAAATAATATTTTTCACGCTTCTTGCTTAAATAAGTAATAGAATATAATTATAAACTAGCGACTCACTCTTCTTGACTTCGCATGGCTTCAATTTCCTCATGTAAATGGAACAGGTGGATGTATTCTGCGTGATTGCGAACAAAATTGAGCGCGTCGTAAACATACCTATTAACATTTGAAACTAAAATGTTTATAGATTACTTTTATTTACAGTAAAAGAATACCTGTCGGGATTTTTTCCAAACTTAGCGGCTACTTCGGATGATTTAAAGGCGTAATGTTTTCCTCTCCATTTTGCTACACCGTTATTCGGGTTTCCTGGTACAAGAGCGCCTTTGCTCGTCGCAAATGTCCACGCGCAAAATCCTAGAAACTAATACATCCCCCGATCTAGTGTTATTTGGAAATTCATTCAAGATTTGGGAATAAAAAATCACACAAACTTTACATATGTAAATACTTTAATTTTTTTTAATTTTCTGAAATTATAGAATCATGAATCGCTATTCTATTGCGGTTACCTCTAAGTTAATCTTTTCAAAATCTTTAGTGACATTCGGATAATATATCAAGCACTCTCCACACTCCGCTATAAAAACAGAAACATATATTCTTTATGCGATTAAAACGAGAACGAGTAACAATTTACTTGCATTTAAGTATTTATTGCAATTTATTGTAATTTGTAGAAAATTATTAATACTTATTAAATTGCCCATGGAACGTTCCAATCTTTCAGCATCGGTTAAAATCTCTATATTTTCGGCTATGTTTTCTAACTTTGTTTGATCATAATCATCATAAATATTCAGAGTCTATAACACAAATTATTCATGATATATGTTCTGAAAATACGTTTAGATCAATAACAGGCGAATGCATTAATACCTTATCGCTCAAACTCTGTATTTCCCACAGGAAGTTGTTGACGCTACTCAGAGTGATCACCTCATCTTGCAAACCCATCCATATATCCGCTAGATCAATAAATTGCGGCTAATAGATAGAATATACGTAATTATTAATCGTAATACGATTACATTTATTGAAAACGATTCAACATTTATTTTATTCAAATAAAGATTTAATTATAAATTTCCGAATTTTAAAGGAACATTATCTTTTATTTCATTAATAGAAAATAAATTTTTAAGTTTTAAACAAACAAGATATTTCCTTTCTATAGAATAACGATATTAAATTTACGTGAAAACAACTAAATCTGATTTCAGCTAAATTATTATTATTATTCTATTGAAATTGAATATATACGAGATTCTGTAACTTTTAATTTCTAAAAATAAATGCTCTAAGGAAATAATTACGTTGAGCATTAATTATAATTTATTCTTTCAAGCAGTCGTATTTACATAGACTTGAGTAGTAGGGATAGCCGTTCTGTATCGAACAGTATCGTGAAGTTTAAAGAGTCGTGCTTGAAGACGTTCCATCAAGTTCTTTACTGCGTTCTCACTACGCTCTACATCACTCAGCAGCTTTCTACAGCAAGATTATGTTAGAAATCGTACATCAGAGTTGTGCAAATCGTTTATTATTTATTTTTATAGATTATCATTATTTATTTATTTAGATTATTTGTCGTTTATTTCGCCTTTTATAGATACCTGATGTAGATCTCTTGCTGACGACTAGCCGTTAACATTTCGATAGGCCACTCAATCTTTTTGTCCGCATCGGATGCTACTTCCTTTGAGCTGGAACATGCAGCATCCGAAGCATCGATTGACAAGCATGTGACTGCATTTTCCACGATAGCCGTAAACTTGTATATCTTGGTCATTAATGGCTCTAACAGCTCAAGAATAGAGTTGCGAGTTTTCATTAAAGCTTCTTGTAGAATGCTTGGCACTAAAAATAATTATCCGTAATTATCATTTTTACGGAAAACCTTCATGTAACATCTTTCGCGATATCATTTCAAAGTCATTTTAGTTACGCTGTCATCATCGGTCGAATTAAAAATTGTTTCATGCTCTTACGATCGTCGATCCCCTCGCCACCTCGTTGACAATCTCTGTTAAATAGACGGATCCCTGCGACTAGACATATTAACTCCATTAACTGCTCTTCTTTCTCTCGTTTAGGCAAAGTTACGTAATGAGCCAGCTCGGAAGCTTGAAAAACGCTTTGCAACGCTATTGAAACCTCCCTAATATGAAATAAAGTTTTATATAATATTTTATTTATCATTATTTAACCTTTGAGGTCCGTTTTCACAATGTGATTATCTAAAGATTAAAGATTATCAAGAGATTCATCGATTAAATTCATTTACGAATTTTCTAGTAATCTTTAATCTTTAGGTAAAACCATAATATGTAGATTGTAAAAACAGGGCTGAGTGAATAAATAGAGGATGGCTCAAATATATACCTATTATAATTTTCTTGAAGATTTTATTTTAGAAAGAGAAAATAAAAAGAATTATTTAGAAATATTAAAGTTCATTATTTTTACATTTCTCTATCTCATAAGGATATTATATTAATACAACTTCAAGCGCACACATAACGTAATATATTAATAAAAAATACAATTTTAAAATTACAATTTTTTATGGCCTCACCTATCAACTTGCGTATCTTTAAACCATTTATCTACTTAAAGATTAACACATTATCAAAGTTTACGAAGATTTAAATATAATAAGTAAGTCAGAGATTTATGAAGAATTGAATATGTATATTAATTTTATGTATAATAAATCTGCTATAATTTTTGGATGGTGTCCCAGATAATACATATGTCGCATAAGATATTAAAAGATATATTTTAGACATAAAACATTTTTTAGATGTCTTATGTAACATAATAAATGTCTGGGATAGATTATGGTTTGTACACAAGAATATTTCCTTTTGAGACTTTGAGAATAATTCTTGTGATAATGCCATATTTAGCATAAGATAAATTTTTTATGATTGAAAATAGAGAGAAATGTGAAATAGAAAATTAAATTAAAATGAAAAATTAAATGTTATTGATTTGGTTTAACTTGATTTGTTAGAACGACGATTCTTATTAAATTCAAACAAACGTGATCAATGATTATACCTCAGAATTGATGGGATTGTGGGACTTCCTAGACCGCTCAGAAGCGTTATCGCTGCTAATATTTTCTGATACAGTTTTTCCGTATCCTTTCCACTATCCAGTTTATTAGTTTCACAAATTTCGATGACCAAAGGTGCAGTTTTCTGGTGCAGTCGTAATCGATGTTTTTTGACAGTTTCGTCTAACGAAGTATGAAATCGTAATAATAATTGTACAAATAGAAACATCCAAATTAATCATCTTTACCTCTGTCATGATAATGTTTAGCGAAGTATAGCTGATTTCTTAAAGTCACAAGACTGGGTTGGCTTTGGTCACACAGCCTCTCCGTTACAGCTTGAATCACTTTGACATTTTCCTCGTTTTCGTTTATTCTATACATTGGATTTAATTGATAAAGAGAAAGCTACAAATTTTTGAGAACACTGTAATTACCGCTTAGAATCTCGCTCGGGTATCAAAATGTTACTTCATTGAGGTTATATTAAATTACCAAAAACGAAGCCAAATCCTTAGTTATTGATGTTCCTTTTGTTTTACATTCATTTACGATCTTCTTCGTCAATTCTTTTCGTATGGTTTCCATAATATAAGAAAATAAAATAGCTACCAATAGCTACTTCCAGCTGATTTAGGAATTTTCACCTGCTGGAGTCGTGAACTCAAACCGAATCACCCACCCATAAAGTTTGATCGATACTACATTAGGTGTGTTTTTTATTCCTACAGACTGCACTAGAGAACTTGTAGTTTTACCAAATATCAAACACATATATCTATAAATAAATGATGTCAAGGGCGATATGAGTCAAAAAGATATTTGTTAAAATAATAAAAAACATTTAATTATCTCAATTTAGACATTGCTTAACAATAATTCGCCTTTAAAATAAGATAATAAATAAAAAATAGATAATAAATATATCTATCTCACTTTAAATTCCAAAAGTGTAAGTATACATATATATTAATTCAGCCATAGAAAACAAATCGATGGAAATTACGTATTGTTTTATTTACGTAATGCTTTATTTATACTTTTTTTAAATTCTTTATAAATATGAATATATCGAATAAAAACTATAAGTAAAAAGTAAACGATTTTACGCAAGTTTTTATATTTGACATAAAAAGCGTACAACATGCTTAAAATATCTGCATTCTTTTATCGATTAATTGATTAAGATATTTATTTGTTTATTACATATTTCACATAACATCGAAAAGAATTGACTTCATCGACTATCAAAAGATTTATTATTTTGCCTTATATATATATATATATATAGAATTTTTTTTACACTATAAAGTGTTTACAGAAAATGAAGATTTACTGATACATACAATTTTATTCGCAAAATAAAAACAAAGATATAATATCTCTTTTAAAAAAATGGTAGAGAATAGTAGTCTAAAAAATGGAATTTCTCAAAGTCAGATTTCCGATTTGGATATTATGAAAATAACGAAAATAATACGTATGTTGTCGAAATCGCGTTTGAATTTCGTACATTATGGCGCGTTCGTGATCGCGCGCGCTCGGCCGTTTCCGCCCCGCCGTGACTCACACGTTGCCAGTGTTGCCATAGCGGGCGGTCTCGTTGTTCAGAGGTGTCGCAACGGTCTGCGCGTCAGGAGCTGTCGGAGCACTCGGAGAAATCCGGAGCCAGTCGGGCTCTGGGTGGTCGGTAACGCGAGTGTGGTGTGTGCGCGCGCGAACGATAGACGCCAACGTGCGAGGAGCGTGCGTGTCGTGAGGAGCAGCTGCACCGTGGTGTCATGACGTTCGCGTGAATCGCGGTCAACGCGTCCAGGTAGAGTCAGCAGTGTCCGAGTGCCTCAAGAACATGGCGCGCGATTCCCGGCGCGCCGATCCGCGACGCGTCGTCGCCGTCAACGGTGGCGATGGTGGTGACGGCGGCGGCGGCGGCGACGGCGACGGCGGTGCAACGGTGAAGTGCAAACTGGAGCTGATCCTTCTGACGCTGCTGCTGACGATTATCATCCCTGCCACGTACGCCGAGAATCAAGGTGAGTCACGAATTTTTATATGTTTTTCTCTCGTCCTCGTCTCTCATTATACGTCTTTCATTTTCGCTCGCGATAGCACTTGACACTACCAGCTGATCTCTCATGCTTGTCTTCTCATCAATGCAAATTAACTTAATAATCTTGAGTTTTTAAGTATTGTCTTAATAGATAAAATTTAGGATATAATTTGGTTTAATTTGTCGTTTAGAAAATCTCTCTTATTTATCTGACTCTTACAACGCCATTTTTATGTTTATTATTTCGTATAAAAAAAAGAGTTCTTTAGTTTGTTTAATTTTGTTTATAATCTTGGTTTGACTTATTTTTTTATCTTTCTCTAGTTCTATAAATTAGAGAAAATAAAGAGAGTAAAAAGTTAAATCAAGATTAAAATTGATAATTTTTGATAGAAACGGACATCAGTTGTGTACGTTAATATCGTATGTGTATTATATAAAATTTTGATTTTATGGGTATCGAAGTAAATAGAAAATACTGTCAAGAGAATTCGACGTCATAAAGAAATTGTCATAAAGAACATTCGCATTGCTATACTTTTCGATGCATTATACTTTCGACAAGGTCGTTCGATTGACTTCTGCGTTTTATATAATCTGTACGTTTCTTTCATTTATTTTCGTATATAACTTTGTGCCAAGTGTCGAATACACGAAACAAAATTTTTTTTCCCCTTCCTGGTCGCTATACTTTTCCCTTCCAGTTTTACCCAACTTTCGGTTTTCTTATTCCTTGTTACCATTGTGCTGCGGTATTTGATACAATAAATATCGTCTGTCAATTCTGTGGCTCCATTCGATTTTAAGATACTTCTTCTTTCGACAAGGTATTTATTTTAATTATTACACATAGCAACGAACTTGTTTTTAACTTCATTGCTTTTTTTATTTATAATGCGACAATTTTTTTAGATAATATTGATTATTGCAACACCGTTTTTTATCTGCACAACAATGACTAACTAACAAATTTTAAATAATGGACAAACACAATTTTTATCCGACGACTTTGACGATTTACTACAATTTTTTCAAGTACCCGGACATATCGTATAATTTTTAAGAATTTTTTATTGTAATAATTTCGTTAAGATTTGAAAATTTGTTAACATTGAAAATGACCCGATCGGTGTCGAAACGTTTGTTTTACTTATGTTTTATTATTTATCTTTAATTTAATATATTGTTTCTATGAAGTGTATTGTTTTTATTTTGGCTCGTTGCCCGTTACACTAATTTAATTTTTATATATTATTGTCGAGCCTTCTCTCATCTATTATTAAAATTTATTTTATTTATTATTTATATATATATATTAAGTATAATGTATAACTTCTTTGTTTGTTTTGAACTTGAAAAGATCCGCGGTTAAATTCACGCGGTGGCGATGATACATATATTATTCACGCCGCGTAAACATTCAACCGTTAAAGCACCGTTTCTCCACGTTTCATTCACGATTCATGTCTTGATTTACAACATAAAATTTTAATCCTTTAATGCGCTGTATACGTTGCGTTCAGGTAATGAAATTATCTCGATTTTCTTAAAACTAACACTCCACGTTTATTTCCTGTATATAAATAGATATTTGAAACTATTGAAAGTGACAGATTAATAAAATTAATGCAAACAAGTTATATTAAAAAAATGTATATTCGTAAAATGAAATTATAATATGTAATGGTTCACGAAAGGCGAAAGAGAGTGAAGGAAAGTGAATAAGCATTCGAATGATGTCCGAATTATGCATAGGGGGTAAAGTTGTCTAACATGAGATACCATTTTTTTGAAGACTTGTAATTTATTTAATTTGCAACCTTAACTCCTATTTTTATGTCAATTTTATAGGAAATATATTTAAGATTTACCAAAAGAGAGAGAGAGAGAGTTTTAGCGATCGATAGTAGCTGTACTTTGTTGTATGTGAAATTTTTTATCAAGAGTACCGATTTTGCTCATTCAAAAAAGATGGTATCTCATAACAGGAAACCGAAGGAAAAATAAAGAAAAGTTTCCTGTCCTCGCCTTTATTACTTTGACTAGGAATCAATCACAACATATCAGACTTATACACTAAAAAGTATTTTGTAAGACTTTTTAAGAAACTTTTATAAAACCTTATAAAAAATACTTCATAAAACTTTATAAGAAAATATAAATAAAATTTAAATTTCTTCTTTTTCAAAAATTAAACATAAAACTTTTGTTTTCATAATAAAAATAGTCGTAAACTATGAAATATCTATTTAAGATTGGCAACAAACTGTGCAGAAAAACTTTTGGGATTTTACCTCACCATACTGTTTATGAGCCCATTTTAAACAAATCTGACATTTCTCCTACTTTTCACGTGAATCTTGTGAAAATAGTCCAGAACAATATGGACATTCTGCATCATCATCACCTTCAGAAGATGATCCATTAGACTGATATGGAACTTATCGTTATCTTCACTTGTGGATTCAATAAGAATTTTTTTTTTACTACACTTTTATAGTTTTGTTTTTCCCTCGACCTTTATTTCTTTTTGTAATTTTTGCTATTTTTTCTTTTTCCTTTTTTAAAAATTCTTCTATCTGTTTCTTGTAGGGATAAGATGTGATTAAATTGGCAGATTTTGCACGTGTAGATTTCTGCTTTTATATTATTGTTGGAATAGGTCTTATTTGGAACACCGGTGACACTGTAACTTCTGTATCACGATTTTGTCCTTGCATATCTCGAAAACAACCTGGAACAGGGCTCAGATTGCCATAGACAGTTTGGTTTTCTTTATTTGTTTCTGCAGTTAAATTTCCATCACATTGTTATCCAAAGTGCGCTAGGGCAGTCTATGATTAGAGAATTTTGATAGCCATTGTAAATTCTGAAATGTTCCTCACCAAAGACGTGGCGGTTACAAGCAAATAGACCAGTCTTCCGAAAAGCGTTGATGGAGTTCTCTGTGGTTGCATCTTTTACGTAAGCTTGTCCAAAAAGCTTTCCTTTTTGACGATTTGTAACAAATCGTCCAGGGTTGTATCGCAACCATGTTTCAATAGATTGTGCACAATAAGTTTTTGATGGAAACATAAATCCCACATCCAACGGTTGCATTTTATGTGTTGAATGTGGCGACAAACACATAATAATTATGATTTTCACGTGCTATTTTGATGACTTCTATGTTTCTTATATAGATGTAATGTCCATCCATCACCAAAACAATGGGATCATCTTCGCTAGGCTTTGTGTGTTGAATAAAATATTTCAACCATGTCGTAAAAAGATCTGTCTGTATCCATTCAGATGGATGATTTCCATCTATAGATCCAAGTAAAGTACCATCCATTAAATCTCGATTTTTCCGAGGAAAAATTATTAATGGCGGTGTCCAGTGGCATTCATACAAGTGACTACAGTTATAAGCTTGCCTCTCTCTAAGGATCTAAGAGCATATACTTGCTTTTTTCCTTTCATACTTTTAACTTTCGAATGCTTATGTTGCACCACAGTAATCCCTGTTTCGTCAACATTGTACAGACGATTTGAAAGATATTTTATTTTGCAACTAATATTGTATAAAGAGATAAGAGCATTGAGCCAATAATTTTATTTTATTTTGGCTAATTGAGGTTCGTAGATATAAAAAAAATTTATCTACGTTTTCTTTTGTAAAGCCCATAACCCTTGCCGCTGATACAGATTGAGGTGTTCTTATTGATAGCGTAGGATGTCTATGGAGAAAACTTTTCAACCATTTTTTGCCAGTTTGCATCGTTGACTTGCTAAAAGATTGGTCTTCAACGCTAATTCAAAAGCCAGATGACGAATGTCTTTAAGCCGTAATTCGAAATATCGTTCATTCAAAGCAATGCAGTATTTAATGAGTTCTTCTTCTAAGGATAAAGATAGCACTAGTTTTCTCTTTCTAGAGGAATTTTAACAATAAAACTGTCGTTATTTTTTACATATTGTTCGATAGTACGTTTTGGGATATTGAATTGTTTGAATGTTTTTAAGTATCCTATTTCTTTGCTTTTCACTGCTTTAACTGCAGCCTCTGATTGAGTATGAGACCCCACAATTGCCTCTTCTTTGGTTTCATCTGAAAATATGATTACTTAGGTTCAGGCTTTCTCCAAGAACTTGACAGTTCGAAATTGTAGGTTATAATCATGATATAAATTACAAGGGTATATTGTTGCGCATCTAGAAATCACATGACAAAGAAGTGACCAATAAGAATCTTTCCAAGTAGACGTCATCAAAACGAGGGAAATTTAAATAGGCAGTCAGAAATAAGACTAACTTATGGCTTCAATAAAAGAAATATAAGGAAAAAAACAAAGAACAACGGGAATGTACTGGCAACGGAGAGGTCTTGTTTCCTGCAAACTTCCAGCCACTTCAAAACCATTGCATTATCCTTCGGGAAAGAGAAGTATTGAACTTTTCTTCCTGGCATTTTTCTCGTTTTCCGGTTATAATTCTTACATCCTTTTACTGCACAGCTCATTTTCGATAATTCTTCTTATCACTGATGCACGTATGTACGACAACGCTATCGAAAACGATGCAACAGCTGTTAGACTGGATAAATAGCGGTCCTGTTTCAAGGAGCCGAACCTACACGAATCGCACCGGAAACAGCCGAGGTGATGACGTCAACATGTAAGACTCCCCCACCACTCCAATTTTTGCGCAGTGGTCTACCACCGGATGAGCATATCCTTGTATTTATTTCATGGTTATAATGGAAGTTGAGGTTATATTGATAAAGTATGCAATAAATTTACAAAATAACGTGACAAATTACTTATACTGCATGTGCACGTTAAAGTGAATTGAAGTTACAATGAAGCTATAACATAAAAGTGTTAAATACTTATTTAACACTTTTAAGGTACTTACCTTGAAATCACAATTATCATTTCTCTTCTTCGCGACTACAATTTTACTCGCAGATAGCGCGCTTAAGCATAGGTTAGATTATCTCAT